GGTTCTTATTTGCATTTGTTACCACTGAACACTCCAACAATGATGATTGTAGCTTTTAATTTGAGGGTTTGCAGTAACACTCATTGATGTACTAAATCCAAAAGTACGCCATTCCCAACTAGAAATGTATGGTGAATAACCGTCCCCGATATCCCGATGAAGCATTCATAGGGGGGAGAAGTTGGCTAAGCCTAGTGGTACACTGACCGATTTCCATGACTTGGTCATAATTTACCGATACACCATATGCTCCCACAGTATCCAATATTTACCTACATTTGGGTGATTTTATGTGATTTTGGTGCTGAATCTTGGCACATGTTCCCTACATGCAGTGTATGGGTAGAAAAGGTTGAAGTATCCAGTCTCCCTTGGTGACACTTCGTGGCTCCAGGCTTCGCCCTTGCTCCCAGTGCCCGTTCCAGGTTCCCTCGCATTGTCGACATTGCATGGCACATGGAGCCGAAGAGACGTACCATGGAACCATAGGGGAGGATGTTTCATCTGCTTATGAAGATCAAAAAACCTGCATTTTTGTTGATTGTTTGCCCCTGGAAAAAACCTATGAACTTTATGAACTCCCCTAATCATGAGAAATATCATACATTTATTGCCCAAGTTATACCAGTTATAAGTACTGAACTAACCCCATAGACATGGATATTTATGGGATGTATCATCCCATTGAAATAACCAGTTTTAATTATCACTGACAAATGGCCATTTTCTGTATATAACTGTGACATCTTGAAGTCACAGAAACAACGCCGATGATTTCTGAGGATCACATAGGATCACTGGCAGATCACTGGCAGATCTGAGGAGTTGGCGTAGCCAAACCCAAGAACAAGCGATAGATCATGATAGATCATGATAGATCTATACCATAAATATCCAACAGTTTTTTTTCTGACATCAAGAAACACTTCGCAAAGGATTTGGTATCGGCTTGGCATCTAGCCCTGCCCTTCAGCAGATTTTCTACATTTTGGCACTAGTGTTTTTTGTTGCACGTAGGATTAGAGCAGTGGGAAGTGTGGGGCGTAAAGAGTGCACTGTGAAGTGTGAAGTGTGAAGGAAGCAGTGGGAAGTGAGAAGTGTGAAGTGTGGAGTGTGAAGTGTGAAGTGTGGAGTGTGAAGTTTGGAGTGCGAAGCGCGCAGTGTGAAGTGTGAAGTGTGAAATGTGAGATTTGGAGTGTGAAGGAAGCAGTGGGAAGTGAGAAGTGTGAAGTGTGGACTGTGAAGTGTGAAGTGTGAAGTGTGGAGTGTGAAGTTTTAGTTTGGAGTGCGAAGAGCGCAGTGTGAAGTGTGAAGTGTGAGGTTTGGAGTGTGAAGGAAGCAGTGAGAAGTGTGGAGTGTGAAGTGTGAAGTGTGGAGTGCGAAGTTTCAGTTTGGAGTGCGAAGAGCGCAGTGTGAAGTGTGAAGTGTGAAGTGTGAGGTTTGGAGTGTGAAGGAAGCAGTGAGAAGTGAGAAGTGTGGACTGTGAAGTGTGAAGTGTGGAGTGCGAAGTTTCAGCTTGGAGTGCGAAGAGCGCAGTGTGAAGTGTGAAGTGTGAAGTGTGAAGTGTGAAGGAAGCAGTGGGAAGTGAGAAGTGTGAAGTGTGGAGTGTGAAGTGTGGAGTGTGAAGTTTAAGTTTGGAGTGCGAAGAGCGCAGTGTGAAGTGTGAAGTGTGGAGTGTCGAGGGAAGGACACGGTCGGGACAGGTTGTCTTTGAACTATAGGTCATTTATGTTTGGGAAACTTCCGCCGCCGGCTTGCCCGGCTCTATGTTAATGACATACATATATGTAGCCATAAAATATATATATATATATATCCAAGATTGGGAGATACAACGGGGAAAGGACTCAACAGATTGGGTGGGAAGATCATTGGGACCTTACCATTTGCATCGCCAGTCTCTCTGAGAGTCCCACGTTCCATAAAGGGATCCATGGAGGTTCATCGCTATGGTCGCTGGGTCCAACTGCTGAAGAGTTGGATAGAGGTGCTATTAATTTTTTCCAGGGTGCAGAGTGAGACCACAAATGCGCGGATAATTTTGCTACAAGGAAATCATATGTCATGATTATGCATGATTTCTGAGGTGTCATGCAAACAAACGCCATAAGAGAAGTTCAATATTCCCAAACATCGCATAATGTGACAAACCCAAGGCCATAAACTGCATCCCCAAAATCACCATAAATCATCATAAATGGCTTCTATAAACCAGCCCGCATGGTAGGGGCATTAGGTTTACCTTGGTTTACCTCACAAGAAACCACTTGAGAAACATCAAGAATCTGCCGATCGAATTTCCAAGCAACCAGAGACGGTCATTTTCTTGGGGCTTGACATTGTGCATCTAGGTCTGAAATAGGAACATTTGATTGCATTGGTTTAAAACTTGGTTTACCCTCTGGTGAACATACAAAAAGCTGTTGAAAATGACCATTGAAATATGGATTTTCCATGATTTTCCCATTAAAAATGGTGGATCTTTCCATTGCTATCTGGCTGTTCACCAGAGGGTAAACATGTTAAAACAACATATTCCCTACTGAGGCTGCCAGAACTTGGGGGTTCGATACCATTCTCAGACCCATGTGTTGTCAAGATATTTCCAGCAACCTTCAGCAGGAAACCCTCTGGTCGAACAGAGCTATGACCCGTTTGTAGCTGGAAAAAACCGATGATTCTAATCGCAATGGTCCAAACTGTTATGGTGATTACATTTGCCATCTATATACCTCCTTTTTTCTGTGGTACTGTAATTTGACATGATTTCTCGATAGCTAACTGGCCAGCTTCACCAGCAAGATCTATCAATGACTTGTCAATCACCATCAATGATCATATGCTAGATGGGAGATGGTAAATCCTCATTGTTTCTGGTTGGTGGTTGACATACCCCTCTGAAAAATATGAGTCAGTTGGGATGATTCTTCCCAATGTATAGAAAAAAAATGTTCGAAAGCACAAACCAGGTTTGCTTGTTAAGTTCATTTCTTTGCAGTGTTGTTTCCTTTCCTTTCTTTCTTCCCTTCTTTTTGGGCCCTGACCTTGCCTGGAACCTGGTGTTAAAACTGCAGCGGATAGCACCGCCGGATGGGTAACCCTTGAAAAAAAAGATTTTCCAAAAAATGAACCCCACCGGCGTTTTCTTTTACTAAGTGGGTAGGTAGGACATGTGTAGATGTGATACGTGTGGGTGTGAAGTGTGTAGGTGTAAGATGTGTGTGTGTGTCACATGTCTAGACATTATGTAGATAGATGAGCCATTCTGAAAGCCTTCAGTCACTCCCTATGTCGTATCATTTTGGGTATGCCAAAGCTTATGCCATGCTTACGCGCGTAGAGTTTTTCCTTACGCGAAACAAATTGAGGAAGCCCTTACGCGAAGTTCTTACGCGGCCTTACGCAAGTGAGGGTTTTGCTTACGCCAAACAGGTTATCACAAGGCCCTTGCTGAAAATGTAAAGGGATGTTTTTAGAGCAGCTCAGATGTGAATTGTGAGATTTGTAGGTCTGTGTATATGTGTATATATATATATATACAATGATGCCCCGTGCGCAGTTTTTGTTACATGTACAGCTGTGAGATATGTTCAGATGCAAACACCTGTAAACACCTGCTTTTAAAGAACCATAACCATCAACATCAATTGGGCAGTGTTTAACATCCTCAGCCCTCTATACTGGGTACTTAGTACTGTAGGATTTCCCTAGATTATGATCATCTCTGGATAGGTAGGTATACGGTAGGTATGAAAATGTTTGCTATGTATAATGGGTGCTACTAATTTGCAAAATGGTGATGAAATAACGTATAAAAAAATACTTATGTTTATTAGCATGACGATGATAACTTCCCAGAAATGTCGGGTGATTAACGAAAACTTGCACATACGGGGCACAATTTCTGTGAAAAGTGTCGCAACTTACTTATGATCACAACTTACTTATGATCACAAACGTAGAATTTCTCTTACTTGAAAAGTGTCTCATAAGTTGCGGCAAGAAAAATGAAATCCAAAATTGAAATTTCAGACGGGTCGTCCCCCCATTGATTTCATTTTTAAACCCGTGCCCATCTCCGGATTCGCAGGGTACACGGTGAGAGAGCGACTCGCATAGGGACCAGCCTGGGAATGCAAGAGCGCGCGCGAGGAAGGGTCTAGGTCAGAAAGGAGTGCGGCAAGCTCGTTGCGGTCTTGGCGAGGCGTTGCCACCCACAGGGGTAGTCTCCAGTGTCACGCGGGAGGCCCTGAGGGGTTGCGGGCCCGGCAAGGTGAGGGTGTCCCATGCAGGGGGTTGGAAGCCTTGGGCGCGAAGGGCATGGGTCGCTTGTGTTGCTTCTATGAGGGGGTGCACTTCTCCGCGCAAGAGGTGAAGGATCCTGTCTGCCGCGGCTGGTAGCCGGCGGTGGATGGCGGGAAGGCTGTCGGCCCAGGACTGCTTGGCGGCTAGCATGAGCCGACCGTAAGCCGAGGCCGCCGGCGGCGAGGGGGAGGCGGGCGCGCTGTTGGGCTTGGATGGGAAGGGGCGTTCCTTCGGTGAGATGCGGGCAAGGCACGCGGCGATGGCGGTATCATGCGCCTGTGCGAATTTATCAATAGTCTATAATATACAACCGTCAGAGTCAGAGGTTCCAAAAGCATCCATGAGAAAATACAAAGAATGGAAGGAAAGGAAAGAAGGAGGGAAGGAAACATGTTCTCTCCATCCATTACTGTAGTTGAAAAAGCAAGCATGAGAACACAATCCAATGAACATGATTTGAAATTCTCATTTGCAGTCAGAATCCCTAATTCTGGGAATGTTTGATGAAATCCACCCCGAATGGCGCCCGTCAATTGTTTTTGGGGGAGGCCGCTGGCTTCGACTGGAGATGTACTTCGAGGTCAACTGGAACTTCTTTCCACTTGTGACCACAATGTCATCTTAAGTTGCATTAAGTTTCTGAACCCACAGGATATCACAAATTCATACAAAATTACACTCTTCCATACCAATCATTACCAATCCACCATGAGCCTTGCACAAAGTTCGATCTTTTCATCATTTTGGTTGTCCATTGCTGGGGTCATTGCAGTGGCCCGTGCATGGATATCATGGATAATGCAGCCCCTGAAATGCGCACCTTCGCGAGTGTCGCTCTTGATGAAGTCTGGGTGGCCTGGATGGAAACCGCCCAACCTTGGCCGTCTATGGCCATGTGGCGCGCAGAAAAAAAAGAAAGATAGGGATAAAAACTCCAAACAGCAAAGCTTTGCATTGCAGGCATTGAACCATTTTAATCCATTATAGTTCATTTTCACTTTTTGCTACCTGATGTACAACTTGTCCTAGGCCAATTTGAGGTGCTGAACCATGTTGAACCAACAGGTTGCATCGAATAAAACGCTATTGCTCAGAAGGTCACTGCTGTAGGGTGGAAGCAAAATGAAAGAGGTGTAGAGATGCGTAAAGAATCGTAAAAATGTGTATTTCTGTGTATTGTATCAGTGTTGTCTAGCCAATAGTGATACCTTGGCAATAGTAGAAACTTTTTTTCCCAACTCCAGTTTTATCTCCAATACTAAAAGTCAATTAGCTTATATAATTCGATTTTAGTATTGCCAAAAAACTCATGTTCTGATCTTGTCCAGAGGGCATGGCCAATAGTGGCCCCAACATGGCAATAGTAGAAACTTTTTTTTTTCCCAACTCCAGTTTTTTCTCCAATACTAAAAGTCAATTAGCCTAATTTAATTTTAGTATTGCCAAAAAACTCATGTTCTGACCTTGTCCAGAGGGCATGGTATAGTTTTTCAGATGTTTGGAGAAAGCAAAGTAAAGCAAAACCCTTTTCAAAGCTGCAAGCACTTTACATTAATGAACGCTTAGATTCCAGAAATCTGATCCAATTACCAAACAGCTGATTTCCTTATAAAACCCTTATTAAAAACAACAAGAAAACAGGTCCACAAAGGGTATCCCCTTTGCAAGCCCCAGAATAGCAATAATAAACCTGCACCAGGCATGGCAATAATGAATTCCAATTGTGCTTCCCCTGGTTTTGTTTTCAGATGTTTGGAGAAAGCAAAGTAAAGCAAAACCCTTTTCAAAGCCAAATCCATTCAGAATCCATCAAAAACCCAACAAAACCATGGAGAATCTATCAGATACATATCATGATCCCAGCCATAGGGTTCCAGGAATTTACTATTGGAATGCTGACCCCCCCTAAAAAAAAGGAAAATTTTCAAAAATTTAGGGGGGGAGAGTTTTATTATTAGGCGGCCAACATTAGACAGAATTGGCTGTTTCGCGGCGAAGCACTTCTTCGCTTCTCTACAGTCCAGCCAGCCCATCCTTAGCTTTGCATTTGCTGGATGCCGATTCAAATCATGAGAACAGCGACAATGACACGAACCCAACACATCAACACCGTCCCAACATGGCAACTGTCAGGCCCTCCCAAAGAGCGCACACCTTCTGAAAAGGTCTATTGCATACATTACTAAGAGGAGCCGCCGCACAAACCTAGTTTCTCACTTCATTGTACCCACATTGGTCGCATTGCAATTGCTTTCCTGAAAGCACCATTCTACACTGCCCACGCAAAGGATTCCATGTTGGTTTCCAAATCTTCCAATGGTTTCCGTTTCCAAGCTAACTCTGTCAGGATCACAATGTTGGGCTGAGATCCTATTGCCAGAGTGTGTTCCAGCCATGCTGCCATACCCTATTTCGCTCTAATTTTGATAATTTTGAATAATTTTGACATATTTTGACGGGGCACTCGTCTGGCCCCAACAGTTCTTTCCACAAGCGTTCGATCTCAGTGGGATCGGTCAACTTCGGAGAGAAATCAGGGGACTGAAGAGGATCCACAGAATCGCCAACTTTCTCCTGGGATTCCTGGGCAAAGCACAAAGGCTATGAGCGAATTGGATTTCATGAACACAACATGCAAACAGGTTTGCAATGGAACGCAATATAGTTGTAATTCGATACTAGAATATACATATGAATATACTAGACATATAGATATATACATTATGTGTATATAAATATAAATATATACATATATAATCATACATATATATAATTATATATATATATTTATACACATGGAAACATATGGAACGACGAGAGCCGGCGGGGTTTACCGTTGAAACTCCAGACCGATGACATCTGGACCGCATCTTACAATATCTTGCAGTATCTTACAGTAGGATATGAATCTTCCAGCACTCCTGCAGGTGAGATTCTGGAGTGGCCAATTTGTCTTCAATTTCCATCAACTTGGTCGCAACCCAATCTGGAGTGTCGTAGCTGTCTAACCAGAGCGGCATCTCATCTTCTTTGTGCCTGAAGTCAGGAAATCTGGGGCTACGCTTCTTTGTTCGAAAGTCTTCCCATTCATGTGGAGAGTCGATCAAGCCTTGCCATAAGTGCTCTTTTGCGGAACTTGCTCGAGTTGAGGAGGATGAAGTGGCCAATTTGTCTTCCATTTCCATCAACTTGGTCGCAACCCAATCTGGAGTGTCGTGGCTGTCAAACCAGAGCGACATCCCATCTTCTTTGCGCTTGAAGTCAGGAAATCTGGGGTTACGCTTCTTGGTTCGAAAGTCTTCCCATTCATGTGGAGAGTCGATCAAGTCTTGCCATAAGTGCTCTTTTGCGGAACTTGCTCGAGTTGAGGAGGACGAAGTGGCCAATTTGTCTTCCATTTCCATCAACTTGGTCGCAACCCAATCTGGAGTGTCGTGGCTGTCAAACCAGAGCGACATCCCATCTTCTTTGCGCTTGAAGTCAGGAAATCTGGGGTTACGCTTCTTGGTTCGAAAGTCTTCCCATTCATGTGGAGAGTCGATCAAGTCTTGCCATAAGTGCTCTTTTGCGGAACTTGCTCGAGTTGAAGAGGATGAAGTGGCCAATTTGTCTTCAATTTCCATCAACTTGGTCGCAACCCAATCTGGAGTGTCGTAGCTGTCAAACCAGAGCGGCATCCCATCTTCTTTGCGCTTGAAGTCAGGAAATCTGGGGTTACGCTTCTTGGTTCGAAAGTCTTCCCATTCATGTGGAGAGTCGATCAAGTCTTGCCATAAGTGCTCTTTTGCGGAACTTGCTCGAGTTGAAGAGGATGAAGTGGCCAACTTGTCTTCCATTTCCATCAACTTGGTCGCAACCCAATCTGGAGTGTCGTAGCTGTCTAACCAGAGCGGCATCTCATCTTCTTTGTGCCTGAAGTCAGGAAATCTGGGGCTACGCTTCTTTGTTCGAAAGTCTTCCCATTCATGTGGAGAGTCGATCAAGTCTTGCCATAAGTGCTCTTTTGCGGAACTTGCTCGAGTTGAGGAGGATGAAGTGGCCAATTTGTCTTCCATTTCCATCAACTTGGTCGCAACCCAATCTGGAGTGTCGTGGCTGTCAAACCAGAGCGACATCCCATCTTCTTTGCGCTTGAAGTCAGGAAATCTGGGGTTACGCTTCTTGGTTCGAAAGTCTTCCCATTCATGTGGAGAGTCGATCAAGTCTTGCCATAAGTGCTCTTTTGCGGAACTTGCTCGAGTTGAGGAGGACGAAGTGGCCAATTTGTCTTCCATTTCCATCAACTTGGTCGCAACCCAATCTGGAGTGTCGTGGCTGTCAAACCAGAGCGACATCCCATCTTCTTTGCGCTTGAAGTCAGGAAATCTGGGGTTACGCTTCTTGGTTCGAAAGTCTTCCCATTCATGTGGAGAGTCGATCAAGCCTTGCCATAAGTGCTCTTTCGCGGAACTTGCTCGAGTTGAAGAGGATGAAGTGGCCAACTTGTCTTCCATTTCCATCAACTTGGTCCCAACCCAATCTGGAGTGTCGTAGCTGTCAAACCAGAGCGACATCCCATCTTCTTTGCGCTTGAAGTCAGGAAATCTGGGGTTACGCTTCTTTGTTCGAAAGTCTTCCCATTCATGTGGAGGGTCAATCAAGTCTTGCCATAAGTCATCCTTGGAAGAAGGAGGTTTCCATAGGTTGCCTTCCTCATTCAGCCGCTCCTCAACCCATGCAGGAGTTTCTTCGTTATTAATCCACAGCGCCTTGCCATCTTTCTCCCTTTTGAAGTCTGGGAATTGTCTCGTTTTCTTGTCAGCCCTGCAATCGACCCAGTGATCCGGTGAGCTAAACAAATCCTCCCAGAGACTGGCGAAGCAATGGCAGCTCCAAATGGATCCAGCAACAAGCAGAACATGCCACGCCCGCGGCTTGCTTCGGCGAACGGAGGTTCGACGGGGCGCCATCAAGGCCAGGCTGCTGGGCTTCACAATACTCAAACCAACTGCAAAACATGCACTCAACACTCTGCGTCGAGCTGCCAGCGATTACTCCTGAGATTTAGGACAGAAGTGACAGAAGTGGTCTCAACATGTCAAAGCAGGCAATAAAGATAATAAAGGATAATTACATACAAGTACTTGAACAAGTGGACACACACTGCCATGATCTCTCTTTTCGTCATGAATTCACCAAGCATAGCCGCCGTAGCCTTTCATGATCGTGCAGGCGGGTAGGAGGGCTTATGGATTTGCTGTGCTGAGATGATCTGATGTGCTTCAAACAGGCCAAACAAAACCAAATGTTATCCATACTTCTGATCTGTCCATCTTCTGTTACAAACCATGCTAGAAACTCCTAAGAGTGCACTGAACATGAGACATCTGATAAGGTCGATTGTTCAAGCATGTAGTATACGTATGTATACGTGTGTATTTTTTTCTTTTGTGCTTATTTGTCTCATCCTTTCACGTGAAGCCCTTGTCACTAAAATCTGACTCCGAGACCCGAACGAGCTACAAATTCTTGGGCCATTTTGGCCCAAAAGGGAAACTGTACATTCTCTGTTTTTGCTGCGTTACGTTCACCATTTTTCCCGATTGGTTATCGTCTACCTCTGTCGGCGTTCTAGCAGGTTTGTAATTGCACACTTTTCAGGCTGAGAATGTGAGTTCACGAACTACTTGTTCACACGGCCAAGCAGATATGACCTATATATTATAATATATTAATATATATTATATATACGCAAAACAAGGCAACGCTGCAACAAAGGCTCGGTCCGTTATCAAGTGTCTTTGCCATGCCCATGCGTCGAATACGATCAGCTCAAATTCTTAAAAAGGTGCCTCCGTTCAATATGTTCAATTCAATTCTTGTCTTGGATCTGCTTGGCCACCGCTTGGTGAACGGAAAACGTGTGCTTCTTGCTGCCGTGCTCGAACAAATTGGCGGTCACAGAAGCTGGTACATGAGCCGATTCTGTAGCAAAACTGACCTTGGCATGCTGGCAACATGGCAAAATACGAGATGTTGTGCCTTACTCGAGCGCTAGCATTGCATGTCTGGCCATCTAGATCATTCTATTATGATCTAGCTCTTGGCAGCAGGCTGGCCCATGACCATCGCACTCCTCGGTTGGTTCAAGCTGCTACATGTAGAGGTGCCGCAAACAACTGGCTTGAGGGCAAAGGTGAGCATTTGGGAGGGGGTGACTGCATGTTGTGTTTCAGGCTGTTTCAGGCAAAAAAAACGATAAACATGTGCACTACCATGCACTACCTACATTATCGGATATCGTTAAAAACACATTCAGATGCGTCATGCAAGGTCAACTCTTAGCCTTATCACACCTTGTCACATTTCCATACATTTCCACCACCCAGACAAGCACCAAACAAGCCGTGGCTTGAGCTCCAGACTGCACAGCGCTGGACGCCTCTGCCTGTCTCAGAGCGCGGACCTGCAGAGCTTCGTGCAAAACCATCACATTCACACAAAAGATCACACATAATTTCATGCAGCATATGCTAATCATCATTGCACGCCCTGGCCGCGAGTCTGTTGCGATTTCCGACTGTGATACGGTGTGCCTCGGTGTTGTCTTGCACCACTGGTTGTGCAACATCCAGCTCTGCAGAGTCCTCCGGAATTTTAGTGAACTTAAGGGAGCAAAGTCACTCCAACCCAAAGATCCCAAAGGGCAAAAAATGACAGAATGATGATGAATCATGTCAGAATTGTCACCCTTCGATGATTTTCCTACGTCAAACTAAAAATGGCATCAGCCTTTCGGTAGCTCCTCCGCTGCCGGAGCGACGAAGGCCGACGTGTCCGCATCCGACCTGCGCAGGAATGCCAAAAAGAGCTCCTCACTGATGCTTACCAACCATTGCTGGAAATCTTTGGAGACTGCCCAAGAAAAACTTCCTCCCGAGTTTCTAGCCCAGTGATTGCTTTAAGCCAAAGGTGATTGGCAAACAGGTCAACTGTCACAATCATTATCATGGTATCTTATATTATCTCTCTCTTGCCCTCAGCGCCATGGTCCTTGACTGATATTTGAAGAAACATCCTATCTCTCGTATCATCATCTTTCTTCATCTTTATTGAAATATTTATCTTCTATTTTTTTCATATTTTTTCTATTTTTTTCTATCTTCATCCTCTGCCACCAGGGGGGACCAGGATGACCAGGTCCAGGCGCCTGGAAGGCGCCGGCTCCGGCTTTGGCTCCGACTTTGGCTCCGACTTGGAAGGCTCTGAAGGCTCCGAAGGCTCAGGCGCCAGGCCAAGTGCCACGGCTTCCTGACAACATCTGACAACTTTCAGGCCATGGCTGAACCATCTGAGTTTGGAAAATGTTGTTTTTAAATTTAAAAACATGTTGGAACATTGATGAACATTGTAACATGATGTACCATGTATACAAAAATCTGGGAAAACCGAGGAAATTTGCAAACATTTTTGGTTCAATCCGCGACCTATTGATGGATCCATTCATACCTCTTCTGTGCACAGTTGTTCATGTAATTGTATGGATGCATGTCTGATGATCATATTCGTAGCATGTTTCTTATGTGTCTTGATGGTTCTTCGTTGATCTTCGTCTATGTTTATATATGCTGAGACAGTTCCTCTGTACGTCTACATGTCCATGGTAGTGTGGAGGTCATCAGCCGCGTTAACCACAATTCCCAGCCTCCTTCTCTGCCCTCGTCTCAGCAACAGAAGGTTTGACAAATGCAGACTCCCAAACCTGCCAGGCAAGCAACAGCAAAGTCCGAAGCAAGGGCAACATGGGCAAAACAAGTCCCAAATTGCTGGCCTCTTCCTTGATGGCCTTCCGCAGAACCACCTACACAATAGCTGGTCAGCATGGGAGGTCCGTAGCTCCCGGTGCTACATCTCTATTCCCTCTCTTCCCTCTCTGGCCATCTGGTGAAGTTCAGCTTGCCTGAAGGCCATCAGTTGCATGGGTATGGGTCAAAGTCTAAGCCCCACAAAAACCGAGGATTTTGATGTTTTTTGTATCAACCATCTATTCCACTTTTGACCCATAGCCACATTCTATGACATCACCTAGCAGTCTGGCCATCGGCCAGCGCCTGCAGCTCGGAATGATCACCTGCCCCAAGGGATCTCATAAACTTCGTGATCCGAGCGGCTTAAATGTGCATCTTGCCGCATCTTGCCCCGAGTGATGATACTGCTAGTCAATGTCTGTCACCTGTCTGTCACCTGCAAATTTGCAGAACCCAGGGATACCCAGGGTATCTTTGGCTCCGTGCCACCACTGTCGATGACATCAGCGTAGCTTTGTCGCAAGTCCACTGCCTCAAACTATCTATTGAAAAATATGGAAAGCTGAAGTGTGCAGGACCAGTGCAAGATGGGTGGAATTTGGATGAATTGATATACAATTTCGCACACATTGCTGTATGAATGAGGCTGTGGGTCTGTGCTGCTAGTGTAAGACCGGATGGAGTTAGGTCTGAGGGCCATCAAAATGGCATCAAAAATATTCAAATATCATCAAGATGGCTACAACAAGTTCTGAAAGTCCCCTGCATGTCCCGTTCTGCACATTCCCAGCTTGGGGATCTTGGGGCGACCGGACGCCACATAGATTCCGCCGTAAGGAGCGTCGGCACCAGCGGCTTGGAGTCGAGGTGCCAGAGCCTCGGCATGGGATGCATTTTGCGTGGGGAAATCATCTCCTTGGGGCTCCTTGACATCTGAAATCAATGTAATCAATGGAAATCATGTGAATCTGCACTGCAAGGCAGTATGATGTGCAAATATTCTCGCAGCTGTTGGGTCTGCTCCAATCTGAAATACTCTGAAGACCCAGCATGCAACCCACCCTTTCGATCCCTTTTTGGCCAGAAGTCTTGGGCGACGCAGTGCAAACTTTTCGTTCGTGCAGATCTTATGGCATGCTTTCTTTGCCCTGGGAGGTATTTGGGTGATTAGCTCCTGCATTTGGTGGATCTCGGGTCCAAGTACAATTCTGATTATCCATTATATAATAAATGCCAATTTCAATGATATCTGATATCATGTGCAAAATCGGGAGAATGGTGCGCAAGCCATGGAAACACTTCTTCTTCCAAACAAATCCGTTCATGTATGGATAATTGCTCTCTTGTTTGGCATCAAATGTAATGGATGGCATTGAATGGCATTACAGTATATTACACAGTAAATGGATGTAAATGGCGTGAATATGTCCACGATGTTGAGCAGTGATGCACAGGCA